AAACATTCTGCAATTTTTGAGAAAGTTTATGTCTGCGTCTGCTTTTTTCACCTTCTTGCTGAATTTCTTAAACAGTTTAAGGTCTTTCTTTGTGAACGTACTGGTCAATGTAAACTCATGTATAATATAGTTAAAGTAAGCATTTGAATTAGAATAACTTAACTTTAACGTTATAAACAAACAAGTCAGGACACTAGAATGCATTCAAATAGCTATTAGGTAGTTTTCGCCGCACGACGTTAACTCCGCCCCTTTTGTAAACAAATCGAAATACGCATGCGCAAACCCGTAACTAACGTCCGTCCAGCACTTAAAATCCTGAAAATAACGTACTCCGCAACGCAAGATGAATAAATTATGACGTCATCCGTTATCGTTAAGGTTAACGTCGTGCAGCGAAAACTCCTTATTTAGAACGAATCAACTTTAACGTGCATAGGCAAAGGTATAGGCCTCAGAATATCTGAATATGTTTGTTTTGTTTTTGTTTTTTTTGTTTTGTTTTTTTGTTTGTTTTGTTTTGTTTTGGTTTTTTTTTTACAACGAAGATGTCGTAGTGAATACGAAGAAACATGTCTGGTTCTATTAAAAGCATTTTTGTTCTTAAATTCGTCTTTATATTATTTTCTGTTCGAAAGTTTGGCAGTAGGCCTATTATACATCATTATGTAACATTATTATTATTTTATTATTATTATTATAATTATTATTATTATATATACAGTATATATATATATATATATATATATATATTTAATATAGGCCTATATATATTATGCGCTATAATCGATGGTGGTTATAGCTTAGTCAATGATACTGATGAAACATTTATGCTATTCTAATTGGAATGGCGAGAAGCGCAGATATGAACTGAGCTAACCTAACACTTAAGTCTATATTAATCATTCAGATTTTCAAGTCATCATCTTAAATTGATGGCGTCATCATTCATATTTAACATTTAACCTTTAGCTTGTTTTGAGTTACGATTGAGGGAGAGAGGGGATGAATACAACGTTTTTTACTTGCGCATGTTCAGAATCAGGTTAATTTTTATAAACTGCACATGATTATTTCTTGAGAATTATGACTTGAGAATCTACATTACGTAATAACAACCATCATGCACTGGTGACTCGCTTACGGTATTTTAGCTTCAATATGCGTTGTACATTATAATTCACCATCAGTTTCTTATCACATGACTAGACAATATTCCATTTTTTTTAGTTTTTCAAGTGATGAATTTTAAATGAATAAATAAATAATTTATAGACACGGCGCCACATGCCCTTTGGTGATCCAAGCTAGGTTCAGCAACATGGTCCCCAGCCAATCAGAGGATGATTTCAACTCTTTAAAAAAATTCAAAACGTACGTACGTTACAAATAATTATAGGATAAAGATAGATGTATCGTGGGTGTAAGGCAATGCTCCCAAGTATTTTAATGCTCCCAAGTAGCTAACTATTTATATATAACTCTTTTTTTTATTGCACATTACTCACCTGCATCAAATCTTTTTGTAATTTAATCGTGCACCGTAAAATTAATAAACACAGAATCAATGGTCCGCAACAAACAAGTTACATGCAAATGTAACTTCAATAAAAAATAGTTTAGTGATCGGTCCGAACCGTTATAATGTGCGTATTATCACCGTATCCAATTCTAAAAATGATAGTAGTAAGCTAAGCGACTGCGTGGATAACCAGTGATATTAAATACAATATGTATCATGAACTTACCTATCATGTATTTTCCGTAGGTTTTACATAACCCGACGTATACTAGGAACAGAGATACCGTTAATCCTTCGCAATGACGCATCGTTTCTCAGTCGTGGTACCCAAATAGTGGCTGGACAAATACTCTTGTTTTTGGATATGTTGTTTAATGGACAAGTGGTTGATCTGGTTATGTTCAAGCAGGGAAAACGGCGCAATGAAACTAAATTACATTTCTCTATGTATGCGCAGTTAATTGCATAGGCCACGAGGCGTAACGAATCCACTTTACTGCGTTTCACTAGCCATGTTGTTCCGAAACGACTTAGAGCCTCAACTCCTCTTGGGACGCCTGGATTCATTAGTATTCTAAACAAGAGTTTTTATACGAGACTAGTAGTGAACCGCCAGAGACGAATCGACTTGATTATCTGTCAGTATCCATCATACCGTACGTTTGATGGAGTATTCTGTATTTTACAGATGCTAAACCATTTTATATAAACACTTTAGGAAAATAAATATATTTAATAAACAATAATTTGAAATCGATATATACAGGCATGAATCAAATATAAATATTGAAAATTGAATAAGCATTGACATGCCTAAGCTGATAATGTGGGGAATATGCATTATACACTAACACAATGTATGTGCATTTATGCTGTAACGATGACTGGATATTTGGAAGACATGATATTGATAAAGGAAAATATAATAGCATCCACAGGAGACCCAGAGTGTTCCAGCAGCACCTGCTCGAATCTTGACTGGAGCAACTTTGTTTTCACACTCAAAGTATTTGAGCAAATATGAATATAGATGATAATATGTATTTGATAAAAACGTATGTATATACATTTGTATATATATATATAATATATATATATACATATATGTATAAAATAAGTACGATTGCACAAAGTATATATAGGCTATATAATTACTATATATACTTATTTTATATTATCAAGACATACGTAGAACCTACACACATTATATATAT